GGCTGGTGCCATGGTGTAGAGGGTAAAGCTGCTGCCTGCAGTGCTGGCATCCCATATGGGCATCGGTTCAAGTCCCAGCTGCTACACTTCCCATCCAGCTCTCTGCTAGGCCTGGGAAAGCAGGAGAAGACAGCCCAAGTGCTTGGGCCCCTGCACCCAAGTGGAGGATCCAGAAGAAGCTCCTGGCTCCTGGTTTCGGATCAGTGCAGCTTCAGCTGTTGTGACCATTTGGGGAGTGAACCAGTGGATAGACGATCTCTCTCTCTCTCTCTCTCTCTCTCTCTCTCTCTCTGCCTTTGCCTCTCTGTAACTCTGCCTTTCAAACAAATAAATAAATCTGAAAAAAAAAAAAAGATGCATTTGGGATGGGCAGGATGGGCATTTGGTCTAGGAGTTAAGACGCAAGTTGAGGAACTCGTGTCTCCTTATCTATTAACTGTCCTACTATCGTAGTTGATTATCTTACTTTTTCTTTCTCCTTATGCCTTTGGTGTCTCCTCCCCCACTCAGTTTTTGCACTCTAAGCTGATAATTTTGCATCTGGTTTCAATGAAACAAATCAGAAGAGAAATTCATAGACTCCACCACCAAAGCACCCAACTGCCAGGATCTGAACATTTTTATGCAGCTTTCCCTTTGCTTACCTAAGGCTCTTCTCTCCACTTGGGTCATAAATTGCTATCTCCTCTCACATCAGCATCATTTCAGCAATTCCTCTCTTTCTTATATTCACCAACAATATTTTTCCTCTCCACAGGATCATTCTCATTTGTTATTTCTAAGTTCCTAAAAAGTTTTTTTGATGAACACCCATCAGCAATTTGTGCCTCCTTTCTTTTTTGTCCTTAGGAACGAAGTTCCTCTAATATCGTCTGAATCTGCTACCTCCAATTCCTCCTTTTTTTAAAAAAAAAAAAAGATTATTTATTTATTTGACAGGTAGAGTTACAGACAGTGAGAGGGAGAGACAGAGAGAAAGGTCTTCCATCCGTTGGTTCACCCCCCAAATGGCTGCTACAGCCAGAGCTACGCCAATCTGAAGCCAGGAGCCAGGTGCCTCCCCCTGGTCTCCCATGGGGTGCAGGGCCCAAGCACCTGGGCCATCCTCCACTGCACTCCCAGGCCACAGCAGAGAGCTGGACTGGAAGAGGAGCAGCCGGGACTAGAACCTGGTGCCCATATGGGATTCTGGCGCCGCAGGCGGAGGATTAACCAAGTGAGCCACGGCGCCGGCCCCTCCAATTCCTCCTTACATGCCCTCAAACCACTCCAGTCAGGTTATCAGCCTCATGCCAAAACTTTTACTGTGCTCGTCAAGACAAACAATGACCTCTAACGTAGTGGTCAATTCTCAGTCCTCACTTAACTGGAGCTGACAGCATCATCTGGCCTAGCTGAATGCTTCCTCTTCCTTCCAGCACTGTGCTCAGTAGCTTCCCAGATTACTGCACTCTCTTGGCGTTCTTCTTACTTAACTCATTTTAATCATCTTTTCTGGTTTTCCTTTGCTGTCTAACTTCTTAATGTTGCAGCGCACCAGGGCTCAGTGCCTGGATTTACTCTCATCCCTTTTGAGCTCCTGGCTTTAGGAATTATCTATATGCCAACAACTTCCGATAGATCACTAGCTTAGACTTCTTTCTTAAACACTAGACTTGCATTTCTAACCTGTCCAAAACTGAACTTCTGATTTTCCTCCCCATCTCCAAACTCCTCCATCTCCTGTCTTCCCTGCCACAGTGGATGACAACTCCAACTGTCTGTTTTCTCAGACCAAAAACCTTGGCATGAATTCTCTTTCTTAATCACATGCAACCCATCAGTGAACACTGTTGACTTTATCTTCCATGTAAATGCAGAACCTGACCATTTCTCAACTCAGCCAGTTCTTACTGCTACTACCCTGGTCCATGCCACTGTCTCTTGCTTAGATTACAGCAATAGCATCTTAACAGTTCTTACCTTCTATGTTAGATGCAGCAGCCGAAGTCATCATATTAAAATGTAAGTAAAATCATGCTTCCATTCAAAACCATGCAATCACTTTTCTTTTCCTTGAAAATATGAATTAAAGTCCTTATGATGACTCCCATTTTCTCTCTGATCTCATGTCCTTGTCTTTTCCCCAACTCATTCACTCTGCTGCACTTCGGTTTTCTCTTTGTTCCCATGAACGGGCCAGTGACATTTGCCTTAATGTCTTTGCACTGGTTTTTTCCTCTGCACAAATGCTTCTTTTCTCAAAAATTTTTATAGTTCATTCCTTCACATCCTCATAGTCTTCGCTCAAATGTCCCTCTCAATGAGGACCTAGCCAATCTACTTAAAATATACTTATCACTCTCAACACCCTTCATCCCATTCCAAGTTTCCTTTTTATAGACTTATCACCTTCTGTAATAATACGTGATTTACTTATACGTACTTTAAAATTTTATTTATTTATTTAAGAGTAGAGGGAGAGAAAGGGGCAGAAACTAGAACTGAGGGTGGAGCCAGGATTCGAATCCAGACACTGATATAAGATGCAGATGTCCCAAGTTGTATCATAATTGCTAACCCAAATGCCCACCTCATATTATATTCAGTATATATTTTTCTCCTCAGTTATGGTATAAGTTCCACAAGGGAAGGGATTGTCTGTTTTCTTCTCCCTCCCCTTCCCTCCCCGCAAAAAAGAGGAGTATTTGAAAGCAAGAGAGAGAGAAAGAGAGAAAGAGAGACAGAGAGAGAGAGAGAGAGAGGGAGAGGGAGAGGGAGAGAGGTATCTCCCACCCTGCTGGATCACTCACCCAAATCCCTACAATAGCTGGGGCTGGGCAATGGCAAAGGCAGGAACTAGTAACCCAATCTGGGTCTCCCATGTAGTTGGCAGGGACCCTGCTACTTGTGCTATCCCCTGCTGCCTCTCAGGGTCTGCATTATCAGGAAATTGGACCCAGAAGTTGGAACTGGGATTTGAACCCAGGCACTCCAATATAGAATGCTGGCAATCCTAAACAGTGTGTTAACTGTTGTGCCAAATCCTGCCCATTTTATCTATCTTGACCATTGATATATTTCAAGGGCTAAGTCCAGTACCTCGTACATAGCAGGTGGTAAGTGTTGAATAGATGAGTGGGTCCTAGTTTCTGGATGTGTTTGTGCTCTGGGTCTCTCTACAGTACGATCAACTGAGATCAAGGGATGTGGTCTCATGTAAGCGAATAGGGTTGCTCCCTTCAGAGTTGGGGCAGGGTTCTTTAAGAAAGTGGAATTCAGATCCCAATGGGTTAATGAGCATGTCTATACAGATGAGATCGTAACATCATTAAGCAACCAACAGATTGTGGAGCTTGGGTGAACCTTAGAAGCTGAATGAGCTTGAAGATTGCTTTTGAATCTAACATTCTGATATTTATTCCAAAATGTTGTTGTGTGGATCAGGGTCACTCTGGATGTTCAGAACTTTCTCTTGTCTCTTATCAATTAGTGGTTTTCTTAAAGGGGGAAGATTTGGGTAGGTATTGTGCTGTAGTGTGTTGAGCTTGGTTTGTGACGCCCACATCCCATATCTGAGTGCTGATAAGTTCCATTTACTCCACTTTTTTTAAAAAAAGTTTATTCACTTATTTATATGATAAGTAGAATGATGGAGGGAGAGAGAGGGAAGAAGGGAGGGGGGGAGAGTGAGAGAGAGAGAGAGAGAGAGAGAGAGAGAAACTCCCATCCACTGGTTCAGTCCCCAAATAGCTGCCACTGCCTGACCAAAGCCAGGAACCTAGAACTCCATGCAGGTCTCACAAGTGGGTGGCAGGGGCCCAGGTACCTGCACCATCCTCCGTTGCTTTCCCAGGTATGTTATCAGGGAGCTGGATGGGAACCCGAGCCAGGACTCAAACCTGCACTCCAAAATGGGATGGGGCATCGCCAGTGGCAGCTTAACGTGGTGTGTCACAATGCCAGACCCTCCATTAAAAGTTTTTTTTTTTTAAGATTTATTTTTATTAATTTGAGAGGCAGAGTTACAGACAGAGGGAGAGACAGAGAGAAAGGTCTTCCATCTGTTGGTTCACTCCCCAAACGGCCATAACAGCCGGAGCTGCGCTGATCCGAAGCCAGGAGCCAGGAGCTTCTTCCCGGTCTCCCACTTGAGTACAGGGGCCCAAAGACTTGGGCCACCTTGCACTGCTTTCCCAGGCCATTAGCAGGGAGCTGGATCAGAAGTGGAACAGCTGGGACTAGAACCAGCGCTCATATGGGATGCCAATGTTTCAGGCCAAAGCTTAACCTACAGAGTCAGCCCCATTAAAAGTTTAATACTCATATTTGGAGACTTTGAAAGTAATAAAATTATCAGAAGGTATATGCAGAGAGGCAGAACCAGGGATTCAAGAGCGTCTCAGTGGCCTTCAATAATGGACCAAAACAAATAAGGTAAAACTTAATAAGGATCAATTTCAAATCCAGCATTTGGGGGTGAAAAAATCAATTGCACAAGTGCAGCATGAAGGAACTGAGGCTTGACAACAAATTACGTGAAAGAGACTTGAGGGTTTCAGTTGATTATGAGATCAATAGCAGCCAACAGTGTGTTGTTCCTTTTAAAAACAAAGCAAAAAAAAAAAAATCTCAAATGTAGAAACACAGCCCTAGATATGCATTAAATTTAATGGTCATAGGGTATTTTGCAAGGGTACCCGAGGCTGTAGGAAGTGTTTTTTTTTTCACATGTGCTGTATTTTTATTCTTTGGGAACATGCATGCCCTTGCTTTAGGAGGACAAAGCAGGAGTGGTGACCCCTCTGCCGGGCCGGCCGTGCTCCACTGGCTTGTAGGTGACGGAGAACTCCCCCAAGTCGTGGCCGGCCACCTCTCGTCTTGTTTTCCACGTGCCTGATGGTCCTGCCCTGGAGAGACGCCCACCACGTGCGCACCGCCTTGGGCAGGAAGCTCCCGCTGCGCAGGCGCGTCTTTCAGATCCCGCACTTCTCCGCGGGAGGCGCCGCCCTCTTGGCCTTGCGCAGGCGCACTAGTGTCGAGGGCCGCTTCCAACGCAGGTCGGGGCTCAGCTGTGGTCGCCGCCGCCCCGGGCACCGGGAGGCTGCACCAGCTGCTCCTAGGACGCGTCCTACCCCTGGGCGGGGGCCACCCTGAGGTCGGTGAAGTTGCGGAAAGTCCGCTGCTTCTTCTGCCCCACTTCCGCTGTCTTAGCTTCCCGGACAAGCTCTTGCGCTTTATTTAGTTGAGATTGTCACATTGTAAGAGGAGCCCTGGCAAGCAAAATGGTGCAGTTATCAGGAACTGTTCACTCTTCGGATCCACACTTCTGGTATTCCTGGCTGTGTCCTGAGTTCTAGGGACCTACCAGTGTTAAATAACCGCACAAAAGTGTGTGCCGTCCAGGGTCCTCTAAAGGACGTGGGGATAATGTGCGTTTTAAAAGTTAACTTTTAAATTATTAGCTCATCAGGTATTTTGTGATATTTGTTTGTTATGCAAATTTTAGTAAGTAAAGGAAGTTTGAAAGTGACAAAAAGCTTGCTTGTAATCCTCCATGCACGGGAGAGCATATATATATATATATATATATATTTTTTTTTTTTTGCGTACTGGTTTGTTCTGGTGCATTTTTTCAGGAGTTGTTTCCTTGTGCTTCTGCTTTTGTTCAGGTTTTCAGAATCTTCAATTTTTTTTAAAGAGTTATTTTATTTATGCGAAAGGCAGAGGTAACGAGAGAGAGAGAGGCCTTCCACCCACCCCCCTGTTCACTTCCCAAGTGGCCGCAACTGAGCCGAGGTGGAGGAGGGCTGGGTCTGGCTAAAGCCAGGAGCCGGGAGCTTCATCCAGGTATTCCACGTGGTTGCAGGGGCCCAAGCACTTGGGCCATCTTCCCCTGCTTTCCAGGCCCCATAGCAGGGAGCTGGATTGGGAATGGAGCAGTCAGGACACAAACCAGCACTCGGGCTGTGGCTGAATCCACTGCTTCAGAACCCCGGCCCTTCAATTCTTAAGCCTGTGGAATATGAAAGACAAAGTTTGGAGGTCATGAACAGTTTGTGTGGCCCAGTTTCTTTCATGCACGGTGACTGGGCAGAACTCAGCCACGTGACCTATAGGACTTCAAAGGAGGCTGGGAAATGTAGCCTAGCTCTGTGTTACAGAAGAAAAAAAATGGTGTTTTCTACTCTAGTCATGACCATGTGTTGAGTCCTGGGAACTCTGGTTGTCTTTGTCAACGCATCTGTCAGAAGCATTCTTCACTTAAAAGGATCGAGCAGAACTATTTTACATTCTTTTCTTTAGCTGCCATTTTTTAACACTGTAGTTGTTTGAGAATTTTGTTTGGGCTGTTTTTTGACTCCTATATTAGCGAAGTTCTTAACAGCATGCCATTCCTCCATATGATCTCAGATTTTCCTTTTAAAATTGGGTTTTACTGAGTGTCGCTTAAGTAAAACGTGCTGCTTGCTCTCTGAATCCTTGAGGTTGCTTTGACATCAGAGGAGAAAGGTGGGGCCCTCTTCCCCTGGGTCTTCCTTTTTAATCTTACTCATGTTGCTTGGATGCTTACATTTGCTGCCCTGATGTCTTTGCAGCTCACACACAGCCAAACTTGTCATTTAAAAAGAACAACAGCTCAACCCTCTTCTGTATCTCTGTTTTTATCATACACTTGCCTGTCCTAATCTTTGATCCTTTTTATTCTCTCAACACAGGTTTTTAAAAACTATATCCCTTCATGCTTCATCAAGGGGATGACAGGATTTCTCTGCTGGATTTGAGTCCTCTAAAACTTCATGACACTTGGGGGATTTCTCAGAACATACAAGATGACATCTAAGGGGAGGGGACGACACTCCAGTTCCAAAACTCAGAAATGAAGTTTTCTGTGAATTCCTTCCTTTGATATCTGTGGGGAATCCTTGTTGCTTCAAAAAATACTTTGGCAGTTGAAAACTTACGAGACTGTCTTTATCAAAATAGTGATAATTGGGTATTTGGTCTGTAATTCTTTAGAAAAATGCTCAGTATACTCTGTATGATAGACATCTGCGTGCATGTGTATTTTAATCCATGCATCAAGTATTCTTGCTGACACATATGCTTCAGAAGCAGTTAATCAAGGATACTCCAGAGATAGAAACTATGAGTGAGTATTTTACCTTCGCAGATTTCTGATCTATACTACTGGCTTGGTCTGTGAGTATGTGGTAGGTTAGAACTGGATTCTCATTGGTGACATTAGTGTCAAGCTATGGGAATGATCTAGAAGACACTGCTCACCCTTGTATTAGTCGTCGTTTTGTTCGTTTAACTAAAAATCTTAGAGGAACTTCTTGGGAAGGAAACCATTTGTTTCAGCTTGCATTTTGGAAGTTCACAGTCAGGATCAGGCGGCCCCATTAGACTGGTGTGGGTGGAGGTTGGCTATGGTGGAGCAGGTGCAGAGGCACAGTCACTTGATGAGGCAGGAAACAGAGATACAGGAACCACACTTGGATTATGTAACCAGTATTCTCCAGAGAACTACCTTCCAGCCTAAAGACCTCCCACCAGCTCTACCTCCTCCTAGCTGCAATAATTAGATCAATTCTCCACCTTAGTCCATCAACCATTAGCTTTTATCCATTTGCTGTTAACATCAGGGTTTTGAAGTTGAAACATCTGCATGAGTTTGGGGAACCAAGTCCTGTTCCATCCATAATCTTAGGACTTTACTAGTTGTTTACAGCCAGCGTCCATTCTGATTGGATGGTTTGTGCCATTTTTGCTGTTAAAAAATTTGAACATTGCTTTCTTGAACCAGGGGGTAAGCAAAGAGAGCCCAGTAGTCTGTACCCTTGGAATGGCAATGGGGTTGCTGCACTGTGTAGAAGTTCTGAATAGTGCCTTGGGTGTGATTCCTGCAAGTCCTGTTTTCAACCACTAATTGGAGGGATTCTTGGATGTCTGGCTGTACTTGAATATGGATTGAATCATGGGGTTTTAAATTTGTCATGTTTGCTTGGGTAAGCCTTTCCTGTAAGGTGGCAGTAGACCTTCTAAAAAGAGACCTGGGGTTTCATTGAGTTTAAAGAACAGGATACTCATTGTCCTGGGACTAGCCTGTTAATTACAACGTAGGATTCTGTCAGACATTTTCCTGCTTTGTTGTCTTGTAGCAAGGCTGTAGAGAGATTTAGTCTCTCCTGCTTCTAATCACATGTTTTTAAAAAGATTTATTTATTTACTTGAAAGGCAGAGTTATAGACAGAGAGAGAGGAAGAGAGGGAGAGAGGTCTTCCATCCACTGGTTCACTCCCCAAATGGCCACAACAGTCAGAACTGGGCTGATCCAAAGCCAGGAGCTTCTTTTGGGTCTCCCACTTGGGTGAAGGGGGTTCAAAAACTTGGGCCATCTTCTACTGCTTTCCCAGGCTATCAGCATGGAGTTTGATCGGAAGTAGAGCAGCTGGGACTTGAACTGGTGCCCATATATGGTGCTGGTGCCACAGGTGGATGCTTAATCTGCTATGCCACAGCACTGGCCCCTAATTACAGGTTTTAACCTACAATCTGTGGACTCTGTGTAGACAGAATTTTAAGGAATTCATAGTCTTAAATGTGAAAAAGAATTACATTTAATTTTCTGTAACTGAAATATAGAATTTCTTTAAATTATGAGTGTAAGTGACACACCAAGGTATTATTAACCTTCCTTTGTCACTAATAGAAATTACATTTATTTTCATGAAACATCAGTGCTGTTACAGCTAATTCAACATGCCACTTAATCTCATCATTATTTTGAAATTATAGTAGTAGTTATCCCACTAGGAGGTCTGTTAAAATTTATTAGTAGAGAATTCTATCTATTTTTATGTCACAAATATTTTAAAATATTTCAACAATTGTATTTCAATATACTTGGCTTCGTTTTTATTACATTCCTTTTTATTTTATCTTATTTTTGCATATAAAAATGTTATTATGGAAAGACACAGAAATGATTAAGAGTGTCTGCCCTTTGGAGGCAATGGATATTTACCAAAAAGCCTGCTAGTTGCTCATGACTTGACTGACTTGGGTTAGTTCACAACAGTGGATGATTCACAAAGTGGACAAATGGTCGTGCATCGGAGCTGTGCTCTTCATCCAAGTAGGTGATACTACACTGGGTTGGAAAACCCGGCAAGGCTTTCAGATCGGAGTAGACTCCCTGGAGGAGGGGCTCACGCTGGGCCTGGGCAGTTGGGTAAGACCTTTTCCCTTGGTCAGAGGGAAGATCATGCTCATTTGTCTTCTCACGTCTCCTTCTAATCTTCTGCGTAGTAGTTTCAAACATCATCAGGTAAAAATCTTAATTTAGAAGCTATCATGATGATATCACTTTTGGTATTTGTTTAGAAATTGCTCCATTTTGTTCTGCTTCTGGGCTGGTCATGCTGGGATATTTAGAATATGGGACTGTATTAAAAATGACTTATTAAATGTTTTCTGTTTTACATAATATGTTTTTGTTTTAAAAAACAATTTACATTTTTATAGCAGTCATCATTGTAAACACTAGATAAGAACTTGTTTAGACAGTTGGGGAAAATAGAAAAAGCTGAAAGCAAGCTTTGTTTTAAAGCTGTGTGTAACTCAGTGGCTTTCAAAATTTTTTAATTGTGACCTACAATCAGAAGTACATTTTATATCCTGACTCACTACACACGTATTCCCCCCCCCCATACAAAATAAGTGCTTCTGGAATCAGTGCTTAACTTTGCTATGTTTCTGCTCCTGTTCTATTCTAGTTTATTCTGTTCTACCCTATCCTGCCCTGTTGTTTTCTATCCCACTCACCCCATTCTGTTCTATTTCTTTCTTTAAAAAAATGTTGCCCTTCACTCCCTCACTGTGTCATAATCTAAAGTCTAAATATATTGGCATGGATGATATTTTCAATTTCTAAACACAGTTCAGAAGTGACATTACATTTTCTGTCTCTCTCCATAGTACTTACCATTGTTTAAGAAAATTGAGTGAAGGGGTTACTATGCACCTACTGTGCACTGATAATGATGTTTGTTTTGTTATCTTTTTTTATTTTTTATTTTTTGACAGAGTGGACAGTGAGAGAGAGAGAAAGGTCTTCCTTTTTTCCGTTGGTTCACCCCCCAGTGCCCGCTG